AAAAAAAAAAAAAAATGTCTTTTGTGAATCATCTGTATACTAAGTTTTAAAAGAAACTAAACAGGTAACGATCGATCAACGATTAATCAGAGATAAAGATCAAGAGAGAGGGGTGCTAGGTTAATAAATGATCAAGACAAATCTGACGATCTAGCGTACTATGCCCTTAAATCTTCGAATAATATTAAAATGAATTGTTTAAAAAATTTCTATACTACGTAGTTCTCGAGCGTGTAGCATGGATATTTCGTTCTACGTAAATTAATATTTACAATTAATTTTTATACTGTTTTTCTAATTGGGAAGTATAAAGTAAGAAAAGAAAAATCTGTTCCAATTGCACGCGTTCCAACCGGCGCGATGATTTTTTGGCCAGCTAGATCGGCCGAATACCCCACTGCGTGGCGTACAAAGGGCTCTTATAGATTGCGTATAGTGGCGCGCACAAGTTGCTTTCTCCGGTGCACGGCAAATTGTCATCGAGCGGCGTACAACACCGACAGGTGGTCTTCAATCGGGCAGCTTGCAAAAAACCTGGACGCGTACGTATGCGGCTTCGGTGCATTTGCTCGGTTGATTATATTGGATTACAAATTACCATGGAACGCCCATAGCTCGTTCAGTCGCGATTAACTTTTGCTTTTCGCACGGTCGTGCCTTCCTTCTGTGTCGTGTTCTCCTTTTCGTGCAGCATGGGCAAATTGTATGTAATGAAATGCAACAAGGGCTCTAGAATGCTACAATACTTCATTGTATGTTTTTAACTACATTTCATTGCAACTGTATTCATTCCTGCACACGCTCTGAATTCTGCCGTTGTATTTGTAGGATTGACAGAATTCCAACGATATAATTGATCGATATAATCTGCAACGCGATTTATAATTCGCGAAATTTATTTCTAAAAGTTACATTGACGCTAATTTCAGCTGTATGATATGATAAAACGATGCCGATCATTTCTTTGATAAAAAAAAAAAAAAATTTCAATCGAATCTTTTCTCTCTCACAGCTCGAATATTCCATGAGAATATAAACTGATTGAAAAGAATCATAAATGAAACATTCTTTGAGTGTTTAATGGGCTTTTGGTGTCTCGAGAGGCCTGTTGCATCCAACAAGAAGTAATTGCAAGAAGATATTGAATAAAAATCTGGCGACGAAGGACAGAATACTTTGGCTCGGAGAGACATATGAAAGATATTTTGTATAGAAGAAGCTATATCAAAAAGTAAATTGTAGTTGGTCGTGTGGCCGGGGGAAACCACGTGATCGGCAGGTGGGATTGGTAACGGTCCAAAGGGCAGAAGCAGGATCAATAAGAAAAAGACTGGTTCTCCGTGATGCATGGCGCACCTGCTCTTCGGAGAGACACGAGGAGAGCGACGAGGATCCGATCTTGTCCGCGATTCTTCGTCAAAAATCTCGAGCCGTTTTCATTGTCGAAAGCGACAGCGATATACCGGACACGACGTACTTATACTTAGTAAGATAAAGTTGTTTCAGTCGCTTGAGATTCGATACTTTAAAATTCGATTTCTAACGTTCCGTGGAATAAATCGAATTTGTTGTATATTACGGGACAACACAAATATCCTGAATAACTCTAACCTTACCCATGCACACAGTTCATTATTACAATAGATTCGAACTAATAGGGAGACAGAAATATTCAATTAATAGATAATAGAACAAGAACGATATATAATTATTTGATTCTTTTAAAAATTCTTAATAAAATCTTTTTTAATAAATCTTCACAGCTTTTGAAAAGTTCTTCTACTACTGACAAGGTAAATTAATGATACATTTATAAATAGTCTGTGAGAAAATCTAAGTAAGTTCTCTCTGCAGACGTGAAGAACACATCGTGCTTAGTTAGTACATAAATAATAATAATTTAATTCAGCACGAAAGAAGGCATTCTACATATGACTATTCCATTACCACTCTGATCACAAAATATTCGGATATTTAATTATCCAGATAGCGGACGTATCGATTCTCCTGTAAATTCATTGATTTTTAAATACATTTCAATGATGTATCTCTAAATGTACTTGAAGGAGGAATCAGATAGAAGTAATCACGATGGAAAGCAATTCGAGGTAAGCAGCCGAGTCGTTGAAACTCGATTCCAATGAAATTGATCGGCGTAATCACGGTTTAATGGAAAA